TATTGGTCCCAAAACTGTGCCTGAGGCACTCCGTTAAGCACATTTCTCAGCAAGACAACTCCAATTTCAGCCGCACTCTTTTTTGATGGCTAACTAGGAAGTATTTTATCCACATTAATAGGTTGCCTCCAACCCCAACATTTCTTAACTTATATAACAGCAGGTTGTGAGGAACTTTGTCAAAAGCTTTGCTGAAGTTAATGTAGGCTACTTCTATTGGTAACTTTTGGTGTTTAAGACCGCACCAACTTTCACGAGCCTCTAATAAGTTAGTGAGGCAGGAATAATTTTCACGCACCAGTAGTACACAAAGTATCTTCTGGCCAGATATGATTTGCCACAGTACTGTAACGGATTCAAAGTCTTATCCTGTTGACTTCCAGTTTCGGTTTCCGACTATCTTGACTACCCTTGTGCAGTGGCCATTTGTTGTGGGTCACTTTCACTACTAGATGTAAGTTCCGGCTCACCTATCTTTTCTCCTAAATTTTCCTATTAGGGTTTCGGATTGCAGTACTTATGTTGTTCTCAGTGATGTCAATCGAAGTTTCTGTACACATTATTTTGAAGCCTAATCTAATCAGTCATACGTCTTAAGAATGTTATAAATTTTCTTGGATGTTAATAGACAATTAGTGAGGTTTTGTAGATGAACAAGTTCAGGGACTAGAAAATTTGAAGACTTAACTACTCTTGCAAAGTTGAATGTATGTCTTTAATCCACTTGCTCTTGTTTACTTTTCGCTCTGTAGCCGATGTGGGTAAGCAAATATTCAGTACATCTACTCTAACCCGAAAATCTTCACTTTCTCATAGTCCACTCTAGAATTTGTGGCTCCACGGATTGATGGTTCATCTTAGTTTGACAGCTTGGGTTTTGTGTTTCCTGTTATAACAACCAAAATAACACGTAGTGGTAGGGGCTACCTGTAAATGTGAATCAGATGTCTTAAACGGTCGAGATATTGAAAGTTTGATACTACATCAGTCGATTTTATTTTATATTTTATTTGAACACATAAATATTGTTACAAGAGGGCACTGAATATGTATGCGTCACACATTTTCATTATTATTATATTTGTGTGTGGGCTATGATACTGCCCGAGTGTCCAGACCGAAGCAGGTGGTTTTCTTAGGGGGTCACACCCCGAGTCTTTGACCTAAAAGTCTGACCCACAAGGTAGTGGAGCATCGTGAGGAGATGCAGTCCCATGGTAGCCGGTGGCCGAAAATTGGTTCATACGCCATTTGTTCCCGCAGGATACTGGAGCCCATGTGCATCATTGGTTCAGGATCCGATTGAAACGTCGAACATTCGCTTTTCGTCCTCTCACTTTCGTAAACAACACCCCCGCCACGAGGAGGCAGTGAGTGGGACTTCCCTGGCAGAGGCTGTATACGCGTGGCCATGTGATAGCATTTTGAGAGGGAAAGCGGTCTCTCCCCACTCTCGGCCATACCAGGGCATTTGGGAGCAACATCAGTAGATTTGCTACCTTTACCAGTCAGTCAGTCAATAACAACGTAGAACTTCGTACGTACGTACATCAGTTCGAGTTGCCACACCACCTTAACACAGAGATGCAGTTGTCGATTCAAATCCCATTGTGGTAGAGGTAGCAAGAGTGTAAGCAGTGATCGGGAAGATTAGGGTTTGGAGATGTTATTTAAAGAGTATAATTCAGTAAAATAAATTTGGAAAGAGGAAAAAAGGGACATGAAGAATTCAGAAGATTAGAATTTGGGAGAACACAAAGAGTGGATGCACCTGCGCCATTGCAAACGATTTTGAGCCATGTCATTCAGGGTCTCTAACCATCGGTTGCTATCATCTCGCGGTCCCCAACCAGGTAGTCTACACCTATCAACATGACTCAGACCACTTGTCAGTGACTTCATGGACTTGTGCCATGTTTTGGTCTGGCCGCCCCTAGCTTTCTTCCAACCTACTCCTATACCACTGAACATCGCACGTCGAGGCAGTCGGTCGTTGGGCATACGTAACACGTGTCCCAGCCATCTCAACTGATGAAGTTTCACCACTTCATTAATTGATTTGCCATCCTTACCTAGTACCCGTTTCCTAACAGCTGCGTTACTTACTCGGTGGTCCCAGGATATACGAGCAATACTTCGAAGACACCTATGATCGAATACTAGTAACCTACGAATATCCTCTACTCTTACCGGCCATGTTTCACTACCATAAAGTAGGACGGAACGAACTGCTGCGCAGTAAACCCGTCCTTTGGTTGATAGACGGATATCTCGCCTACGCCATAAATGACGCAAGTTGGCAAAAGCTAATCGAGCCTTCTGTATCCGTGCTGAGATTTCGTCACACACCAGACCACAAGGGTTGATGAGACTTCCAAGATAAGTGAAGCGGTCGACACACTCAACTACTTCACTCCCTATCACTAGTTCGGGTGTCGATGTAACCCAATCCTGAAGCAACATTTTGCATTTCGAGGGAGAGAATCGCATCCCAAACATGCTTGCATTGTTGCTTAGAGTGGTCAGAAGACTGCATTTTGTCAGCGTCTCCACCAAATAGAACTATGTCATTGGCATATTACAAGTCAACAAGTGAATCCCCTGGTAGAAGTTCAACCCCTGGAAATTTAGAGGGGGAAAGTGTTATCTCTAAAAGTACGTCAAGGACAAAGTTAAACAAGAATGGAGAGAGCGGGCAGCCCTGACGAACACCGCTTGAGGTAATCAATTCTGATGGCAGTTCGCCATAAGCTCTCACTCTACCAGTTGTGTTCGAGTAGAGAGCCTGAATAAGGTTAATGTACTTCTTTGGTACTCCTTTCAGTGACAAACCCTGCCATAGAACCTTACGATCAACAGAGTCGAATGCCGCCTTAAGGTCGAGAAATACTACCATTGTGGGGTGTCTAAACGTGTGTCTGTGTTCTAGGACCTGACGTAGTGTGAATATTTGGTCTATACAACCACGTCCAGGTCGAAAACCAGCCTGGTTTTCTCTAGTCTGTTCTTCACGAGCTTTGGTTAGGCGTCGAAGTATTATTGAGGCTAATATTTTAGACACTATATTAGTCAAACTGATTCCTCTGTGATTGTCACAAGAGGACTTTTGTCCTTTCTTAAAAACTGGCACAATCAGTGATTGAGACCAGTCAGATGGGATTACGTCCAGCTCCCAAATTCTACCTAAGACCTCGGTTAATCTCATTGCTAATACTGGACGACCATCCTTAAAAATCTCAGGAGTAAACCTGTCAGGGCCTGCTGCTCTCCCTCGTTTCAGATTTCCTATGGCTTTTTCAACTTCGTAAAGAGACGGAGGACCTACATTAACTTGCCATTCAGGTTGACTGGGGATCGTGGGAAACCGAAGTGTGGCTGAAGGCCAGTTGAACTGATCCCTGAAGTGTTCTGCCCATCGATCCAATCTCCTGGATTGAGAGTGTATAATATGTCCATCTTTCTCTGAGATTGTTTCGCTAACGGTCGGGTTCCTAATTCCGGTTTCCTTAACGAGTCTAAACAATTGTCTGCTATTACCTATTGCCGCTGCCTTTTCCATCTCTCTTGCTTTCGCTACCCACCACTGTTCGCGATCATTGCGTAGACTTCTTGTCAGTTTGCGCTTAAGCTGACTCCGCTCTTCATTATGTTCAGAGCCAGGTGGAATGAGTTTCCGAGCATCTATCAGTGCGATAGATGTTGCTGAGATCCAGTGTTGCTCTCTAACCTTCTGGTTTACCTTACTAACAGATATCACTGCTGTTTCCACAGCTTTTCGGATATCATTCCATGCTGCCTCGGGGTGGGCATCACATACATGGCTGTCTAACTGTTTTCCTAGTTGTTCCTGAAATATACTCTTAGCTTGACTATCATTAAGTAGGCCCCTAAGAGGTTTCCTTGCAGCGTTTTTCCTACGTCCAGTAAGACGCAAGCAAATACGCGCTCGCACTAGAGCATGATCTGAATCTAAGCATGTGCTCCAGAATGAGCGACAGTCTTCTATCGAGCCCCTCCATCGGTGGCTGATGGCGTTGTGATCTATTTGGGTCCAACATTGGGACGAATTAGGGGGTCGCCATGTTAAAAGATGTTTTTCTTTATGCTTAAAGTTAGTATTTGCAAGGAACAGGCGGTTATCTGAGCATAGCTGCAACAGACGGTCGCCATTATCTGTTCTTTGAGCCACGACACCATAAGATCCACCTAGGTGTCTTTCCCTATCGCTTAATTTACCTACTTGAGCATTAAAGTCACCGGCCACTATTACTACATCCGAGCGCTTAGCTTTTTGGAGAAGGTCGGAATGCTTCCTGTAAAACTCATCTTTTACATCATCTGAGCTGCAGTCAGTGGGATAATAGGCAGAAACGACGAAGAGGCAACGACGGGTGTCCCTATCTTTCCGGATTCTTACTGTTCTGTTTAGTCGGACAGCGCACAAACGACTGTCTACTGGGATCCACTCTAAGAGAGCTAATTCTGCCCTAGGGCTCAATGCTATACCTACGCCGGCGAGTCCACGGGAAGCAGAATCCGGGCTTCCAGATACACGAAGCGTAAATCGAGTCGGTTCTTTATTTTGGCATGGTGAAGTCAAATGAATGACGCTACTCGGATCTTGTATGCGCGTTTCGGAGACGCAGCACACGTCGATGGCGCGGGATTCTAAAGTCCTAGCTAAGGAAGCCTGCTGTCCTATTTGGCACAGTGTTCGGACGTTAAAAGCTCCTACGTGTAGTTTAGAGCGTGGTTTCAGGAGACCAGGAATAGAGTTCCACGTACTCGAATCGTTTGCCCTAGCGGTGCGAGGTGATACAGAGACATGAGGAGGGTTAGTCATGGAGATAAGAGAGGTATTAGAAGGTGTAGGAAGGATTTGAATGTGACCAACTTGGTCTCGTGTTTTATTTATTTATTTATTTCAACACATAGATAATGGTACAAAGAGGCACCAAATACATATGCGCCACACAAATCTCATTCGATATGTGTGAGGGCTGTGATACTGCCCGGGTGCCCAAACCGAAGCAGGTGGTTTTCTTAGGGGGCCACACCCCGAGCCTTCGACCTGAAGGTCTGATCCACAAGGCAGTGGAGCATCGTGAGGAGATGCAGTCCCATGGAAGCCGGTGACCAACAATTGGTTCATTCGCCATTTGTTCCCGCAGGATACTGGAGCCCATGTGCACCATTGGTTTGGAATCCGGTTAAAGCGCCGGACATTCGCTTTTCGTCCTCTCATTTTCGTGAACAACACCCCCGCCACGAGAAGGCAGTGAGTAGGACTTCCCTGGCAGAGGCTATATACGCGTGGCCGTATGAGAGTATTTCGAGAGGGAGAGCGGACTCTCCCCACTCTCGGCCGTACCAGGGCATTTGGGGGCTTGGTCTCGTGTGCTGTTACGGGTATGAGGGCTGGTGTCACTTCCCGGCTGCCCACACCGTGGAAGGGTATTTCTTGAGGAACCTGAAAAGGAAATTGCATTAGTGTTGGTCTTGACGACCTGGGAGCGTGACCGCAGAGCCCAAGGGACAACTGCTTGAGGCCGGTCGCGCACGGCCTTTTTGTGGAAGGATTTTGACGTGTTAGCTCTGTTCTTCAAAGGGCCTTAGCGCCGGAGACGGAAATCCGTGAGGTAAGGTGAGGTGTGACATTTTTAGGGTCGACCTTTTCTAGCCCCACCCCTCCTTGTGGGAAGGCAGCATCGCTTTCATGCTGGTTGTCTGAGGGAAACACCTTACTGCTGTCACACCTCTCTACAGTCAGCAGTACGACTTCGCCCTCGGACCTTGAGTTGCTGCTTTTAGTCTTACCGTTCACCAATCGACCTGCCTGGCATGGTAGAACCTACAGGAACATATGTTCCAGCCAATATAGCTCGTTTGGGTCATCACGATAGGCAAGTCCGACCACCGCGTCAAGGTAGCAGCTTCGGTCAGGGCTACCTTTACATCTGGCTCTTTGTCTAAAACCATTAATACTCCGCTAGTCTGCTTCGGTTTGGGCATCCGGGCAGTATCACAGCCCTCACACATATCAAATGAAATTTGTGTGGCGCATGTCCTTGGTGCCTCCTTGTACTAATATCTATGTGTTAAAATAATAATCCACTAGGGGTCCCAACAAACGTAAATAATTTTTTGAAACACATGTGGTCAAAAATCGGTAAGGTACGTGGTGTTTTTGTTTGAAGAGTTGTATATCAAGCCTTAAAATTAATACAGAGCAAATTACTGCGCAATAACTCTAATAATCGTAACGGACAATTCAGATACGACTGGGTGTATTTTTGCGTTATTAGAAAGCTTAGCGGACTGTGCTTTATATGAAGTTGTTCTACCTGCCTCTGGCCTTTATAAAGTGAGGACGTTGTGTTTTTTTTGAACCAGATAGTTATAAATCTACTAACCTATGAAAGCTAAGCGGAAATGACAGACACTATGAGAACTATTACAAGTGATTTTTTTAAATCATATATATATTCTGGAATTGCTATGATCTAAATCGGCTTATTATTGTATCGGTAATTTTCACAATCGTCGCTTCAGATTACCCTTTTCCCTCTTAAAGGAGCTCATGGTTTGCGTGCATTACATCCGTAGATTATTAGTATTGTTTCAGAGTATATACAAAGCTTATTGACCCTTCCTAAATGTCATTGAAGAATTACTTCCTAAAATAAACATGCGACTTCATAACTATCAATAAATATATGCTCACTTTTCGTCTCTCGTTTTAGATTCTTGAATGACTCTAGAAGAATCTAGTAACTTACATCAGTCACTACCATCAGCAAGTTTTAGTGGTAGTTACCTGGCCAATACCAACCAGATTAACAGTTCATATCATCATCAAAACAGTCAAAATCCTACGAATTATCCTCCATTATTCCATCCTGCAGCTGTAGCAGCTGTTGCTGCTGCAGCTGCAGCGGCTGGGTACACACAACAGTTCAATCCAGGTGTTGTAAGTATAACCTTTTATAAATTGTTGTATTCCGGTTTGATTAATGAGGAAATTATAGGGTATTGTTGTTTCTGAAGTCATCTAAGAAGGCTAGGGATTGGTGGTCACTAGGATGATGCAACGAAATCGTAGAGCAGGACTTCAATACGAAAATGTTTGCACTTGAATTCGTGTAACTTGTCTTGTATATGGTGATTTCTACAATATGCATTATCTGGTATAAGAAAGCTACTGTAATTACATCATAATAGATCGACACTAACCAGTAACAGGTTATCTGTAAAGTGTGCTCCACAAATGAAAACTACGTGTTACAAATGACACCCTAGCTAAAAACAACAAGAAGTTATGCCTAACTGTAGCAGCTTTCCTTAAGGCTGGTCTTTCAACACGTAGACTGCCTTTAGGGAGTGAATTGACTGGGCTCGTACAATTTCTCGAATTCAGAAAGATCACTTAGTTATTACCAATTTACGTTTTTTGTGATGTGAGCGGTTTGTTTGTCTGGCTATTAAAAGGTGAGTATACTGCGTAACGGTTTGCTTTGTATTAGTTAATGACAAACTTGGTTCATAAAAGTAGGAGCCATCTGTAGGACTCATATCTTTGATCATAGGTGTCTTCGAAGCACTAATCCTGTACCGTAAAACAACTAATTGGGTAATTCGAAAGTTAAGCAGATGACAAGACTTTTGGTAAAATTATATGTCTTAACCGACTAATATGTCTGGGACTAACTGTCGCTCACTTCGTTGAGAAACATTGGGTGGAGCAGGTATATGTTTAAGGACAACTGGTGATTGCCGAACATATTACATATCGTCATTAACTGATGGATTGAGCTGTTTCCACGCGATAACCGCGATCAGTGACTAGATACGATGGTTGAAATGACTCAGAATCGATCGTTTTGGTGCAGATGCATTCATTCATACATTTTGACCGTAAATATTATTTCGTGCTTGTTATTGTTGGAATTCATACCTTTTAAAGCTATTCTGTACAATGTTAGTTTTTCTCATTATCATTCACATCGGTATTACTTCGACTCTTACTATTCATGTTAGTTTCGTCTCGTATTGTTGATTTGGTAATGAAAGATTGTGCTAACGCACACTTATGTTAGACCATTTGGATTGAGCATGAGGTTAGCGACCCCATCCCGTAGAAAACGAACTCACTAAAAAACGCTAACCGGAAAAATAATTCAAACCATTTATCCTCTGCCCTAGGAGTTAGAAGGTTTTCATTTAGCAGAGTTATGACGCCTCATAGTGAAGGCCGAGTTCCTTCGAAAGTCACGAGGCAGATGCCCCTTCTAACAACCAGAACAAAATTTTTTATAGGTACATGGAACGTCCGAACAATGTGGGAGACCGGGAAGACCAGTTAAATTACAACGGAAATGAGGAGATACAACTTGGCAGTACTGGGAATCAGCGAAACCTACTAGACCCATGCTCGACAACAAAGGCTAGCTACGGGAGAGATGCTGCTATACTCCGGCCACGAAGAAGAAAATGCTCCACACACTCAGGGAGTCGCTCTAATGCTGTCCAAAGTAGCACGAAATGCACTTGTAGAATGGGAATCTCACGGATCCAGAATCATCAAAGTATCATTCAAAACAAAGAAGGGGAGGGAATTACAATTTTATTTATTATTTATTTGAACACATAAATATTGGAACAAGAATGCGCTAAATATATATGCGACACACAAAACAATGAGAATTTAAAGGGAAGGAGAAAAAAGATTGATGTAAGGTGGTGTAATAATAATAATGGTAAAATGGCGGAACAGAAAGGTACAATCAGAAGAAATCTTTCAGTTAAGGGAGACAACCACTTTTTATATGAAGAAAGTAAAAGGTTACAGCAGGATCGCCACTGGCTTCTATTCTGAGCCATATCTAATAACGTCTCTAGCCACTGTGTAGCACCATCTCTCGGACCCCAACCAGGGAGTCATGAAGGACTACCACTACTACTACTACTACTAATAATAATAATAATAATAATGATAATAATAATAATAATAATAATTTGAATCATTTGATTGTTATTCGGAGCGAGAAATGTAATTTCCATACATATAGAGAGTTCATCATTTGCATGTGGGCTGTGATACTGCCCGGGTGTCCAGACCGAAGCAGGTGGTTATCTTAGGGGGCCACACTCCGAGCCTTTGACCTAAAGGTCTAACCCACAAGGCAGTGGAGCATCGTAAGGAGATGCATTCCCATTGTAGCCGGTGACTGAGAATTGGTTCATACGCCATTCGTTCCCGCAGGATACTGGGAACGAATTACAATGAATGCTATCTAATGCTATGCACCCACCAATTATTGCAATGACGACAATAAAGATCAGTTCCATGAGAATCTGCAAACAATCATAGCGAAGTGCCTAAGAAAGGGCCTCACCATTCTGATGGGAGATCTAAACGCCAAAGTCAGAATAGACATTACCGGATATGAAGGTATCATGGGATGACATGAACTAGGAGAGAGAAACGAAAATGAGGAAATATTTAAAACTTTATGTGCATTCAAAAATTGGTTATAGGCGACACAATATTTCCACACAAACATATACACAAAGCTACATGAATCTCACCGGACAATCAAACAACAATACGAACGTAAAGACAGCCATTTTCATGTCCAGGGTAATGTCATACTGTCTCGGTTTAAGGATGATGTCTCTTAACCATATTCTCTTATAGACCTAGGAGGGATTCTGAGACGATCAACATTATCATACATGTTTCTAGTGCCATCGGTTTGCTTTTGAATTTGTGTGGTTTAAATAACCAAGTAATCAAGCTATGCTTTCTGTTCTACCCTCATTTACTAGATTTACAGAGCTTTAAATTCTAATCACATTTAATTTTTACCTCTAATCTGAAATAATATGGTTTGCGATTAATATCAGCTGTTGTGAAAACCATCCATCTGGTTTACGAGCTAAATCGTTTGTATTACACAATTCGTTCTTTCTTATTTACAGATAAGTCGTCCACTCAACCTGACTGCTAATCACAATGGTTCGAATCCATATTTCTCTTCTGCAGACACAAGCAGAGCTTATTATGCCAGCTTCGCATTACAACAGTCTGGATTTTATCCTGGGTCCCATACTTTCAATAACTTGGGAGGCATGAATATTCCTCAGGATTTTTCATTTCCGAATCCCACTACCTCCATTCCTTTATCCAGCACTGGAGTAGAATTCCCTTCATGTTTATCATCTAGTACAGCGGAGTCTGAAAATGGTTCAAAGTTACAACGAGTTGCTGCCTCAACTAGGAATTCCAAAACTTCCACTAGTAGTATAAAAACACATACAAAATCGTCAGGCGTTCGTGGCAGGAAATCGATTTCGTCTGATGAGATGGCAAATCGCAAACGCCAGGAATTTAATGAACTTGTTAAAGCCCGCACTGAGAAGCTTATGTCCGATGGTCCTATTGCAAATGCAAGTAGTTTATTTTTGCTCCACATTAATAATTTCTCATTAATAGCGCTTTCTTGCACCATAATGTTCTATGTCCTTATAATTACGTTTGTGCTTACTTCAAACCTTTCGAATTTCGTTGATATAAAGTGTTGTCTTGCTGTCCTGGGTTACGCTTCAGTTCAGTCATTTTGTTGTTTCGAAAGTTTCCTATAATACTAAGCAACCCCATTTTCATTTTTGGATCCCTATTAAAATTATTATTTCGATAATGCAATGAGAAGACGAAGTTTATCCTCTCATTGCATTATCGAAATGTATCAAAAGGACTAATTGTTTTAAAACTATTATTCATAAACATATATGGTGATTGTCTTCACGAGAATAATACGGTGACTTTTACTTTTTATGTTTCGGTAATTCATTATGAGTAGTGCATGGGTAAAATCCTGAATAGCAAATGAAATGTACCCAGGTGATAGATGCTCCTGTGACCGAAATATTGACGTGGCACTTCAATAAGCTGATATCAGAAACCAAGACAACTGCCCACTAGAAGAGATATTTTTAATAAAATAACACGTTGGTGTACAAAGTATTACCTGAAATCCGACTCACACTTCCGCGTCGTGCCTCCTGGATAGTGAGACGAATGTCTCATGAACCAACGTGAGCGGTAACCCGGGTGGTGGAGATCGGGCTAATCACCCACTCAACCTATACCCACAACCTGATTACGAAAACTACAAAGAATCATTGCACAATTATGGTCCAAAAAAGACAAAAAAATTCACAAAAACTAAAACTTGGTTTATGGAATGTCCGGAGTTGCTCTCAAGAGGGTAAGCTCCAACTGATTGCAGAACAAATTATCAAATGTAAGTACCGCATAGCAGTGATTACGGAAACTAGGATGGTCTCCAAAACCATCAAAATTGATAAAAACACCACTTTCCTCAACTCTTATCCTGACATAAATGACTACCGGAACACTGGTGTCGGCTTCATCATTAATAACCAGTCAATGGTTTCCGCCACCAACTTTAGGGAGATAGATGGTAGAATAGCTACCATTAAAATACATAGCAAAATCACTAACCAGACTATTAACCTCATTGGTTGTTATGCCCCAACTGAGTCTTATAATGATGATATCAGTAAAGAAAACTTCTATCTTAAACTGAATCGCACAATTAAGAAACTTAAACTAAATAAACTTCCCATAATCATACTAGGTGACTTCAACTGTAGGCTAGGCCTGGACCTTCACACTTACTACCCTAGTATCATAGGGAAAGCTGTCAAGCTTGAACCAGAAACATCAACAAATGACATGAGACTAATAAACTTATGCGAAACATTAAGTCTGCGAGTAATGAATACCTTCATTACTAAACCAGTTCATAAGACTTCCACTTGGGTGCACCCCAAGACCCAAATGGAACATATGATAGACCTAGTGTTAATAGAAAATAATTCTAAGTTAATGGTCTGTGACATACACAACAGTCGATCTATGGAGGCAAACTCTGATCACTACATGGTCACAGCCATACTTAAGCTAAAGTACTTAAATAATAAACAAACCCCAAACACTAATAAGAAACCCAGACGAAGACAACGTAAGGCGATACACGCCTTGACGTCGGATTATCCAAGTATATTAGATAACTTACTTCAAAATGAATATAGTCTCAGTCAGATAGAAAGAGCAATCATACAAGCAGCTAACAAAGCTGAAATCCCACTTAAGTCTGCCACTAAAAGATGGCAACACAGCATAAGTGATCTCTTAAAACAAGAGATAAAACATAGAAAACAACTAAGATTAGCTTGGCTAAACAACCCCACAGCCCTTAATAAAAACCTCTATACTCAAGCCAGTAAGATTGTAAACAATAAGATTAAGTTAGCAAAAGACCAATATATCAAAGAGAGAATAGATGAGATGAACTCTCTCTTCAAGAAACATGACTTACACTTAGCATATAAAATGCTGGATGATATATTGGCTACTATTCGAAACCAATCCTATAGAACTAAAAGAACAAACTAAGTTAAAGATAGTGATCTTCAACATCACTATCAGAACCTATTTAGTGCTAAATCAAAACTAAACACTACTCATCTATCCATAGGGATTACCCAGGATCCTGAACTTACTCTAGAAGAAATAAAATAAGGCTTAAAAAACATGAAAAACCAAACTACTCCTGGTAATAATGGCATCACTACTGAAATGATAAAGCATGGGGGAAGCAAACTCACTAACATATTACTAAATATAGTGAATAAAATATGGAAAAACCCATGCACAATGCCAGACCATTGGCTAGATGCAGACGTGATAAGCATATACAAAAACAAAGGATCAAGATCAGACCCTAAGAACTATAGAAGTATATTCCTGCTAGACAATAGGAAAACTATTTGCAGGCATAGTCTGCAATAGGCTAGTACAACTAACTGATAGATACCTCTCCATTACTCAATTTGGATTTAGGAAAAACTTAGCGACAACCCATGCCATAACGACACTAAGACATCATTCAAACTACTTTAGATACAAACCGTACTATAGTTCTAACTTTTGTAGATTTAACTAAAGTTTTTGACACTATACCTAAACAATTAATCCTAGACACACTAAATAAATTATGCCCCTCAAAAAATATAAACTACTGCATAGCTAAACTACTAGATAAACCTAAGGGCTATCTAAGAAACACAAAACTAAATTTTACAATGCATAGGGGGGTTCGACAGGGTAGTAAAGAAGGTCCGGCCATCTTCAATCTAGTCTTTCAAAGTATCTTAAAACATAAAATAGATAAAACCTTAAAAGGAATCATCTTAAAAGATCAGCATAATAGGAACTGGACAATTAAACACTTAGAATATGCTGATAACTTATGTCTCATCACCAATTCCACGGAAGAGGCTACCAAAGCCTTAAACCATCTACAAAAATACTTAACTAACATTGGTATGGAGATATCAATCTCCAAAACCAAAGTCATGATTATAAATAAAAAGGACAACCCAGCAGCTGTCAAAATAGACAATAAAGAAATAGAGGAAGTAGAAATCTTCCACTATCTTGGCTCCGCCATAAATAACAAAGGAACCCCTGACAGTGCTATAACTCATAACATAGAAAAGGCTAAATCTGCAGTAATCAAAATTAGACCAATACTTAAATGTAAAGAACTTAGCCTTGGTACTAAAATCAAACTGGTGGATTCTTCAATAATCCCCATTCTCACATATGGACTAGAATCCATAGTACTAAGGAAACAAGACTGGACCAGACTAGAAACGGTTCTAAATACAATACGGCGAATGATCTTAGGCATAAACGATAGAAAACAACTTAATGTACAACAACTTAAACTAAAAGTAAACTTACCCAACTTAGCTAATAAAATCATGCAAAATAGATTAAACTTATGGTATACGGTACATAAAAGACCAAATAACCTAATGGTGAAGTCTCTAAATAGTGAATTCGATAACCCATGCAATAATAGGAAGGCATACACTAAAAACTCGCTAAGACAACTACACCAAGACATTGAAGAAATGGGTGAACGACTACCTGAGAACTGGATATTGCAGCCCAATAAGGTTAAAATCAATGCATATCAGGAATACTTCCCCAAAATAATAGGTAAACGTCAACTAGACTATAAATGCCAAAACAATAACTGCGATAGAATGTTTGCAACAGTCAAAGAAATGAATAGACACTATAGAAATGATCATCGAAATAAACCCAGTAGAGTTTTACCTTACAAATGTCCCCTAAACGACTGTAATAAAACGTACAAAACTTTGGGCTGGCTTAATAAACACATTCAGTCGTGTCACCCACATCACAAATCACCAGTAAAAGGAACGAAAATCCAAATAACTAAAAATAATTCCATAAATAATGTAAATAGATGTCCATACCCTGGCTGCACTAAAAGTCTCCCGACTAAGAAAGGTATAATCAATCACTGCTATGTAGTACATAGATGGTCAGCAATTACCGGACAGAAAGTAAAAACAAAAACAAAAAAGCCTCAAAAACAACTATTAAGCCCCGGTAGTTGTGCCGGGCTTCGATGTAGCCTCTTCTCCAGAAGGGCCTACTAGGCTTCACCAACTTGTTTGGCTGGAAGGGGCACCAGAAAATTAAGTATAATTCAATACTATAAGCGAGTAGAGTACATCAATTTTGAAGGTCTTTAACTCTACAACGAATTAAAACCTTCCCTATCATATCAGAACTCTTCAGAAATACACCTTACTCGTACATTTTTTCAACTTCTCTACAAACCGAGTTTTCATCATGATTGATGTAGTGTTATCTGGTTTACTAAATATTATATTATGATGAGAAACAATCCGTAATTTTCACCAATCTTCTATTAAGCAACATAAATTCTTTCAGCATTTCCCCTCATTTTTAAACAAAATGATTCATCAAAACTATAATCACAACTATCGTAATACTTTTTTAATAATTAAATATTCATTTTATATTAAAAATGTACTGTATTCAGATTCAACGGAAATGTTTATTTACCTCATTCATAGTCTTTTTAATGACACAATAGTATAGTCCATATATTATTTTGACAACTCTTTCACAATGTTTTAGAAATTCTGTAGTGTTCCCAACTTCATTGACATTTGTTATGGGTACACTACTCGAAAACCGATACCATGCAGATAATATAGTCATGTTGAACAGAAATTTAATTCTTCCGTACGGTCTACTTGGTAATCCGAAAATATCTGGGGGATATCTTACACATCTAAACTCAGAATACTCCTTTGCAACTTGTTTATCTCAATGGTTAGGCCGACAGTTGCCAGTGTGTGTAGTTGTCGTCACTTGTGTTAGAAGTCTGTGCAACTCTGGTTATTTCATAATTGGTGAAACATTGTTATCGATTTCATTTTCATCAAGTCGATTCATCTTTCCCACAAGTGCTTGTAAAAAAAGAGGTGTGCTGTTCAGTGTTTTGATCTGTACTGTATTACTAGTGTAGGGTGTTTTCTTGGAAGGTAAACGATGTTTGCATTACAAGAATCTGGTCAAAATCATCGTGAAATCACTACCCGTGCATGTTTGAACCACTGAAGTAGTTCCGAATTTAAGCATACAATTCTAGTAGGGTTTCCGAACTTCATCTACTGGGTTCGTTGAGCTTTATGTTGCTTATATCCTTATAATCGTGCACGAAATCCCTGCTAGACCAGAATTTAAGGTGTAAAAAAGGTGAGACAGCGACTTAGCTTACTGAGTATTTTTTTTTTACGTTATTAGCGTGGATGATGTTCAAACACTACAGGTATTCAACCTGACAGAAATCACAACCTTTACAATGGAAGTTGTACTATTATCTCAGTTTGTTACATATGGAGTGTCATTATAAACTGGAAATCACTTCTTTTTTTCAGTTTATTATATTTTCCGGCTAATCAAATATCACATATGATTATTGTAATGAGATGAAAAATATGATTATAGAAAAAGTTTTAAATAATTTTATTTGATGTTTTTATTTTTGTTTTATAGTCTTCAACAAATTCTGGTCCTTTATCATCTTCAAGTTCAGCTGGTTCTATAGGACCAGAATCTGGTGGATCACCAAACTATCGCAAATTGATTCATGCTGTATTAGATGCTAAAAAGTCAGCTCTTCTTAGATCTCCATCTGTTATCCAATTCTTAGTTAGTCAACAACGTTCACTAACTGAATATAAACGTCAAACTGAATTATTTTGTGTTACGATGAACAGATGAAAAGAAAAAAAAACTGTCTTATTTTTCTACTTGTTTATGTTGTTAATGTTTTTTACTATTCGATTATATATATACATTTGTATTACAAGTTGTAAGTAGTTGATGAAAATCAAATGAAATAAAATGAGTTCATGTATATCCTGTTCAATTGTTTATTCTTGCTCTCTATATATACATAATCCTCTTAAAAATAAATTAGATCTCTTTTCATTAACTATTCTAAGTCGATATATGTACTAATACAGTATGATATGTGAGGGATAAATGATTTAAGAGATATGACTCAAAATCAATCAGTGAATTACTTTCTCTAAATCTCAAATACATTTGTTTAATCTTTACCTATTCAACCTAATTTTGTGTGTGCATAAGGTGTATTTACAAGTTTTATCTTCTACCTCATTGTCATTCAATCTTTCACCTTTAACTGATATATATATATATATATATATATATATATATATATATATATATATATATATATATATATATATATATTGATAGGAGTTACTATTGTAATGAACGAGAACACAAGTGAGGATAATCGAATGTATCTGAACACAAAATTACAGAACTTAGAACCATAGTGTAAATATATAATTTAAATAATGTCTGTTCCTTTTGCAAATATCAGTCTATCGTCTCAGACTACATTGTTCTTTCGTTTCCATACCAATCATTCTTTGTTCTCATTTTCTTTTCTTTAATCTCTACTTTCTGCCTCCAGGTATTTCACTTTCGATTGTTGATACATACTACTTACATCTGTAGTACACACCACATTATTACTGATACTGTTAGTACTTTTATGACTATGGGATATGTTTTGGTAATTTTATCTCGCTGTGCTAATGTGGTATGACAACTTGAACTGACATACCTGCGTCAAGTACTTTGTTGCATTTGACTATGACGATGAGTCATCATCATTATCATAACACTTCTTACTATGTGTAGTATGCCTTGTCATTGGTTGTTTCACCTTCGTCTCATTTATGTTCTAACTATGTAGCTTACGGTTTCACCACTTATTTTGTCGTGTACGTTCGTTTGGCTGCTTACTGGCTGTTGTAGTAATCTCTGGATTACTGATTTGTATACTCAGGTACCAGACATTGTAAAATAGTTGCTTAACAGTCATAATTTCCTCGCAAAACTGACCTGATTTACATCACGAAAAGCGAATGCAGTGCACAATCTTACGGGGCTTCAAGCTAGGATAAAATGCATCTGTTGCATTAATAATCAGAAGCCCATGTAAAAATATGTGCGAAAAAATATTTAGTGTAACTTGAATCATAAATTGAATTGGGAATAGAACTTGTAAGTGAACAAACTATTTTTTACGGATGCTGGATTAAAGCCTTGTACAAAACATATATCAAAGTATCTTCTAAGCTTCCAAACTTCTGCTGAAGAACAAAATGTTGTTGAAGTACTTATTGTGGAATCCAAATCACTCTTTGATGTTGGACTTTCAATTTTTCCTTTATAAGACAAATCTCTTTCGATGTCAACAGATAACTGCTGTCTAAAGTTGATCTCTTTAAGACGTTCAGTTTGTATACATGTAGGCATGATTATTTCATATATTTGTCCAATGAAATGGTATATAACAAACGTTGTAATAAGAGCAAGAAATAAACGTCTAAAAAGACAAAACCCCATTCTATTTGGTAGTAATGAATACATTCAGTGAGATAAAACCCTCGGGCGCAGAAAACTTATACAATATACAACAAAACTACATAGCGCGGAGAAAAAGTAATAAACTACACTACCAGTTAATCAAAAGGAACATAATCATAAACGAATCTTTTCAAAGTGATTGCTTTTATTATCGTACTTAGAAATTCACACTAACATCAATATTTAAGAAAGTAAAACAATTAACTGCAGAAAAATAATATAGATAACTACAAAACTGAAATCAGAACGTTTTTTAATGGTGTAAAAAATATCAAGCTGAAGAGCGTATATTCGCAGAGGAGAGAGAAATAATATAATGGAGTACTTACATACAAATTTATTTTATTGTTTATCGTTTCTAAAAAGAAAGTAACTAAAGAACATCAAACGATAACCTGTTATTTATTAAAAGTAAATCACTCCAATGGTAACGCATTTTATTCCACGGTAATTTTCAAAATGTTAGCATCACAGAAAACAGCAGAGACATATCACAGTTACATATACTTCACGATAAATTAATTACACCATGTTGTACAGCAGGTTTCTGGTTATTATCGTAATATTCATCCATCTCACCTTGTTCCCGAATATTATTTATTTCATACCGACGTTGTTCATCCTCCATATGTGCACAATATGAGTAGATGCCATACAAGACGCGCAATACAGCACTGCTATCGCCCGCAACAATTTCTTCAGGTTTTGCTGGAGGTTCAACCATACCAGCTGCTTGAATAAGTTCAAAGGCTAGTTTAACATTTGATGTACACAATTCTTCTGTTGTTGGTGTTGGATGATATGCATGAAATGGTACAAAATAGCCATCAATAAGACCCATTAATAGAATAAGTAAGACACCATCTCTAAACTAATGATTGAAGAATGAATAAAATGGGAACATTTCCATCAGTTAATTATAAAACTAAAAATAGATTTTACAAAACTGTGTAACTCGAAAACCAGCCAGAAGGCCGTACAATACACTAAGTTAAATTTATTAGGTCAAGGATACATGTATCATCTGTATAAAAAACTGGTGTGAACCAATAACATCAGTCAGTCAGCTACAACGTAGGTCCAGGCACATATATGCATCAATCCAAGCTGCCATACCGTATTAGCACAGCAAGATGAACACCGGATTCATAGGAATAGTTAGTCAATGGTGGTAATAGGTAAAAGAATGATTGCATATAAGGATACAGTACAGGAAGATTTAGTATATAGAAAGAAAGATATGAAGCAATTTTAATCTTTTAGTATAAAGGAAGACAGAGAGTGTATACATCGATGCCATTGTGATCGATTCTGAGCCATGTCACCAAGAGTCTCCAACCATTGATTACGATAGTCACGCGGACCCCAACCGAGTAGTCTGCATCTACCAACATGGCTCAGACCAGATGTTAGTGTCTTCAAGCACTAATACCACGTTTTGGTTTGGCCACCCGTAACTTTCTTTCAACCATCCCCAACACCGGTTAGCATTGCACGTCGTGGTAATCGGTGTTCAGGCACACTCAACACGTGGCCCAACCATCTCAGTCGATGAAGACTCACAACCTCATCAACTGACTTACTATACCCTATCTAACCTCACTATTACTTACCCGGTGATACCAGCAGATACGAGCAATATTTCTAAGATATCTGTGGTCAAACACTAGTAGCTTACGAGTATCTTCTACTTTTAATGGCCATGTTTCGTGGCCGTAAAATAGAGCAGAACTGCCGCGCAGTACACTCGTCCTTTTATTGATAGATGGATATCTCGCCTTCACCATAGATGACGTAAGTTAGCAAAAGCAAAACGAGCTTTTCGAATCCGTGCTGAGATTTCGTCGGACACCAACACATTACAGCTGATCAGACTTCCAAGATAAGTGAAGTTGTCAACGCGTTCGACTACTTCACTCCCTATCCTTAGTTCAGGTGTTAACGCAGACCAGTCCTGAAGCAACAACTTGCATTTCGAGGGAGAGAAGCGCATTCCAAACATTCTGGCATTGTTGCTCAGTGCTACCAGAAGACTTTGCATTTTGCCAGCGTCTTCACCAAACAGGACTATGTCATCTGCGTATTCTAAGTCGATAAGTGGACCTCCTGGAAAGAGATCAATACCCGAGAACTCAGTCGACGAGAAAGTTATTTCCATCAGTAGGTCTATGATGAAGTTAAACAAAAATGGGGAAAGTGGACATCCTTGACGGACACCACTTGAGGTTGCAAAAGTAGATGACAGTTCGCCATAAGCTCTCACTCGACTAGTAGTGTTCGAGTAAAGAGCCTTCACAAGGTTTATGTACTTCTGAGGTACGCCTTTCAATGACAGACACTGCCACAGAACTTCGCGGTCTACCGAGTCAAATGCTGCTTTTAAGTCAAGAAAGACCACCATCGTCGGACGCCGATAAGTGTGCCTGTGTTCTAGAACCTGACGAATGGTGAATATGTGGTCGATGCAGCCACGACCAGGTCTGAAACCAGCTTGGTTTTCTCGTGTTTGCAGTTCACGAGTCTTAGTTAGGCGTCTGATAATTATCGAGGCTAGTATTTTAGATACTATATTAGTTAAACTAATCCCTCTGTAGTTGTCACAGGATGATTTTGACCCTTTCTTATATATTGGGACGATAAGTGATTGTGACCAGTCAGATGGAATAACGTCTAACTCCCAGATCTTAGCCAAAATATTAGTCAATCTAATCGCTAAAATTGGACCACCATCCTTAAAGACCTCTGGAGCCAGTCCATCTGCCCTTTCTCGTTTCAGATTTGCTATAGCCTTCTGAACTTCAGCTAGAGTTGGGGGGGCTACTTCAATGTTCCATTCACATTGTCTGGGAATGGAGAGTAGTTGTAGAGTAGCTGGAAGACAGCTGAACTGCTTTTTAATGTGTTCCGTCCATCGTTCTAAACGTCTGGATTGGGAGCAGATGAGAGTGTCGTCTCGCTTACATTTGACTTAGTAATTCCAGTTTATTTTATTAATCTGTAGAGCTGTCTTGTGTACCCTATAGTCGCTGCCTTTTCCATCTCTTTTGCTTTCGTTGCCCACCACTGCTCACGGTTGTTCCTTAGACTTTTGCTTAACCTACATCTGATTTGTTTACGCCCTTCATCGTGTTCAGAGCCTGATGGGATGAGTTTGCGAGAATCCATCGGTCAAATAGACCTTCAAGAAATCCATTGATTTTTTATAGCCCTGTGACTTTAATCACTAATAGATGTCACTGCTGTTTCCACAGCTGCTTGTATATCTTTCCAAGCAACATCTAGGTCAGCCTAGTTTTCAGAACTACCTAAGT